CCCGTCCCTGCGGACCCCGCACCCCTCCCGGTCCGGTGCCGTGTGTGACCCGGACCCCCGGGGGCCCTCACTCCCCGCCCCCCAGGGAAGTCCTTCCCGTGGTCCAGACGCCGTGCTGCCTGCTGTTCCCACCATGCCCGGCTCCCCGGTCCGTCCCCCGTCCCGTCCCCCGACCCCCCGGGGCCGCTCGGCCACCCCGACCCCGCGGCCTCACCTCGGGCAGCCCACACTTGCCCTTGTCCGCGTACGGTGACAGCCCGGCGGCGTAATTCACCGACATCGTCGCCGGCGCTGCCGCGGAACAATAAAGTTTCCCTTGTTGAGGCCGCTTCCGCCGGAAGTGGGGAAGGGACGGCGGGGGAAGAGGACCCACCTTCGTAGAGACGCCGGGGTGTGTGTGTTTGGGGTGTGAGTGTGTGCGTGCGTGTGTGTGTGGGGTGAGTGTGTGTGGGGTGAATGTGGAGGGTGAGGTGGCGGCGGCGGAAGAGGCGTTCTCTCCAGAGTGCATGCGCCGCACTGACGCCGCGCCGACGCCACGCGCGCCATCTTTAGTGCTGGCAGCGGACTCTGCCTGCGTCCCCAGGCCTGGCTGCCCGCTGTCGTTGATGTGGCCACTCACTGGCGCCGAGGCAGGAGGATTGCGAGTCCCAGGCCAGCCCGGCTGTGTAGTGAGACCCTGTTTCATAAAGGGGACAAAATCACCACCAAAACCCATGGAAACAAACCCCTTTGGGGCTTTGGCCCAGTGGGCGGGCCCCGCCCCGCGTGCATACAGCCCGGTGGGAGTTCAAAGCCAGTCTGGGCTTCGCGAGACCCCAGGGCGGCTCTGGGTCTCTGCTGTGTGACTCTCAGCCCGTCTCTGCCCCTCTCTGGGCCACAGGGCAGAATGCATGGGGACTTGGGGTTCCCGGGCCCAGCAAAGGCCTCCGGACTCCCTGCCGATATTTTCTCGGCTTTGTTTCTGGGGTGCATCTCCCGGGATAGCACAGAGCATCAGGTCCCCCCCAAACGGAGCGAGTCCCATATGTTACACAGAGGTGCGCAGAGATGCAGAGAGATGGAGAAGGAGATACTGGGGTCACCGGGAGTCCCTGTGACCCCCTCCCGTGGCCATCTCTGCAGTGGGAGGCACCATCCTGACCCTTGTGCCTCTTGGTGGTCACAGACAGGACCAGGCTGTAGTGATGGTGCTGGGGACCCGGGTGAGGGGCGGCATGTGACTACGGGAGCCTCCTGATCCCCGCGGGGACCCCCAGGAAGGCTTCCCGGAGGTGGGAGCGCACAGGCCGGAGAGGGAGGCGGTCCTCGGGGCTGCCCAGCTGAGCACGCTGGCCAACGGCAGCTCGTCTCCTCCCTCGGCTCACCCCATCCCCCTGGGCGGGTGCCCCCCCAAACCTGATCGGGTGTCACCCCGACTCCGCTACTGGCAGCTCGCACCTGGAGCGAGTAACCAGAGAGGCTGTGGTGGACGCAGGGCTCTGGCCTGGAGTCGCCTGAGGTAGGGAGATAGGCTGGGGAGGCCCGGGTGGACACGGCCCTGGGTCCCGAGGAAGGGGAGGCATGGGGCTGCGCCACAGCGGGCTGCCTGCGACACCCCGAACACATGCACCCACACACTCGTGACAGGCGCACGCGTCCCACCAGACAGCCGCGGCCCTGGCTCAGTGCGCACCCTCCTCCCTGAACCATTGTGGGGACCCACAGGTCACTGGACCTGTGTGTGCTGAGGTCACCTCTTCCAGGAGGCCCTCCCTACCTCCATGCTGCGATTCTCCTGACTGGAAACCTGTGGACGAGGCTCCTGGGTGTCCTGTTACTCACCCAGGGGTGTGATTGAACTTTATAGTAGGGGTGGTGGTGAGAGTGAACTGTCACATTGAGTGTAGAGGAGGAAGGATGGACAGGTGGGTGGGTGAATGTGTGGACGGGTGGGTGGATCGTGGATGGATGATGGATGGGTGGGTGGATGATGGTGGATGGATGGATGGATGGATGGATGGGTGGATGGATGGGTGGGTGAATGGATGGGTGGATGGATGGGTGGGTGGATGGATGGATGGATGGATGGATGGATGGGTGGGTGAATGGATGGGTGGATGGATGGGTGGGTGGATGGGTGGGTGAATGGATGGGTGGATGGATGGGTGGGTGGATGATGGATGGTGGGTGGATGAATGGATGG